GAAAGTAGTTTTACGATCTGAAGCGCATTTCAATTCCATTTAAATTTGGTTAACTGGCCAAGATGTTGGTCAACACATGAATCACACATTTCAGATGTCTGGCCAATACAAAAGATATCTTATCAGCTCAGCCATTAATTGGTTATTATGACGAAATACTCACACATACAAACTCGTAGTGTTTAAAACAAAAGAAGAGATTATTGCGCAGACATTAACCCATTTTGAACCGTCTATCTCCTGCAGAACATTTTCATTGGGTGTGACGTCACCGATTGCGTGCAGGTATGGCTGAAGCCCATGCTGCCGTTGCATTCTCGTTTGCCATCACCCACGAGGGCTTCGACATCAACTATGACCACGAGGTGCTCAATCTTGTGTGGAACTCGGGAGTGCGCTCCTGGAAGAAGCGTTTGGCTCGTGCCAGGGTAAGCTTAACGATACATTTGATAACGATATAGTTGGATTAACCGTTCCGTATCCTCGTTTCAGAATGGCGTGCGCAACGGCGTCTATCCGGCCCACATCCAAAGTCTATGGCTTATATCGGCCATTGCCCTTGGATTGCACTTTGCCGGCTACCAGGCTCCCTTCAACCTGACCAACAGAGTTCTCGTTCATCTTCCCTCCAACACAACTAACTGGCAGGTAACTGCCTGCTTCCTGGCTGCCCTGGTGATCTGGCTCTCGATTTGTTTCACCATGCGCTACACACTGAAGCTTCTGCTTATGTACAAGGGCTGGATGTATGAGTCCAGGGCCCCGGGAAGTCGCGTTTCGCTGCCCACCATGTTGTGGGTGGCTGTGGTGCGCGTCCTGTCCAGCTGGAACAAGCCTGGCTTGTACAGTTTTCAGGGTTCCTTGCCACGTCTGCCGCTGCCATCCGTCAAGGACACCATGACGAGATACCTGCGCAGTGTGCGACCTCTGCTGGACGATGATAACTACTCGAGAATGGAGCGCCTGGCCAAAGAGTTCGAACAGAATATTGGCAAGAAGCTGCAATGGTACCTCGTCCTAAAGAGCTGGTGGTCCACCAACTACGTCTCCGATTGGTGGGAGGAGTATGTCTATCTGCGCGGCCGCAGCCCCCTCTGTGTCAACAGCAACTTTTACGGCACGGATGCCATCTTCATGAACCTGACCAACAAACAGGCAGCTAGGGCGGCCAACGTGGTCCACCTGCTTCTCAATTTCCGTCGTCTCATCGAGCACCAGGAACTGCAACCTGTAAGTTAAACAACACAATATGACACTTGAAACCTATTAAGCAATTCTCTGCTGCAGATCATGGTCCAGGGAATGATTCCTCTGTGCTCTTGGCAGTATGAACGCACCTTCAATACGGCTCGTGTTCCGGGTTTGGAAACAGATCGCATCATTCACTACAAGGACTCCAATCACATTGTGGTGCTGCATAAGGGTTGCTACTATAAAATGATCATCTACCACAAGGGACGCATCCTGCGTCCTTGCGAGCTGCAAGTGTGAGTCCGTGATCAGATTCCCAATACAATTAGAAACTAACATTTTCTTCTTTCTAGTCAAATCGAGGAGATCCTAAAGGCCAAGGCCACTCCCCTGGATGGTGAGGAGCATTTGGCTGCACTCACCGCCTGGAATCGCTCGAAGTGGGCCGAGGCTCGGAACACGTACTTCTCGCGAGGCGTTAACCATGTCTCCCTGCGGACCATTGAATCTGCTGCCTTTGTCCTCTCCCTGGACGATGAACCATTCGAATTTGATCTGGAGCGGCCCGAGCTTCTCGACAATTTCGGAAAGAAGCTGCTCCACGGCAACGGCTACAATCGTTGGTTCGACAAGTGTTTCACCGTCTGTGTGGCCACCAATGGACGTGTCGGCTTCAATGCGGAGCACACCTGGTAAGTGCAATTCCCACTCCGTACTGTTCTATTCAGACAAAGACATTTCGTCTCGTTTCGTATCCTTGATTTGCCGTAATCTAAATTCTTTGAACAATTTGAAACCCACACAAACCAAGGTCTGACGCTGCCATTGCCTCACACATGTGGGAGAACCTGATCGTCGACGATCTTGTATCGGATGGGTAAAGTGATCTTTTTTGTACGCGACTACGTTTGACGGTGTCGGTTGGATGCGTTCAATTTGAGTTCTTGACTTTGGTTTTGACATGTACATACATACATACCTATTTTTAATTAACTCTGGTTGTGGCCTAACAATTGATTTAATTTACGCATTTTTTATAGGGCCGATGCACCGGTTTTGGGACATCTATGGGAGTATATATTTGGTGATGATATTTATGGGTAAACACTTAATTTCCAAACAATTCAAAATGTAATTAAAGGTGGTTTTGGGAAACCTTGAGGGCCTGCACATGTTTAAGATTCTCAAATGCATTCAAACTGTCGCACTCACCGTATGCGGCAGATATGTATATGTACATATGTACAGTGGAAAACCTTCTTAGCATGTAGCCAGCCCAGAACACTGTATTCCACAGCAACCTTAAACGCAAACACAAACTAATTCTCCCATATTCCTGTGACTAACCATTGTTTCGTAAGGTTAACCAAAGCCTCTTAATTACGTTGCCTTCGTTTACTGCCTCACAGAAAAGGTAATACTTCTTGATCTAACCAAACGCTTGCATACCCTGCAGATACGACGAGGCTGGCGACACCAAGGGCACACCTGAGTTCCAGCCCCCGCTGCCCACACGACTGAGCTGGGATCTTACACCCTGTCTGTCCAAAATTGATGAGGCCACCGTAGACGTGACCAAGCTAATCAATGAGGTGAATCTGCGCATTCTGGTGCACCAGGAGTACGGCAAGGGATTCATGAAGAAATGCCGCATCTCCCCAGATGCCTACATTCAAATGGCCCTGCAGTTGGCCTATTACCGAGATGCGGGACGATTCTCCCTGACATATGAGGCTTCGATGACGCGCCTATTCCGCGAGGGTAGAACTGAGACAGTGCGCCCGTGTACCATCGAGTCCGCAGCGTGGGTCAAAGCCATGCAAAACCAAAGCATATCGGTAAGAGGTGGCCCATAATATAGTTCGATCCAAGCCTAATTGGTTTTTTTATTCGCAGAACGACGAGCGCGTCAAGATGCTACAGGCAGCCTGCGATCGCCACCAACTGGGCTATCAGGATTCCATGTGCGGACGGGGCATTGACAGGCATCTCTTCTGCTTGTACGTTGTGTCCAAGTACTTGGAAGTGGACTCGCCCTTCCTCAACGAAGTGCTGAGCGAGCCGTGGCGCTTGTCGACTAGTCAGACCCCCCATGGGCAGACGCCAAAGATGGATTTGAAGAAGCATCCGAACTGCATCAGTGCCGGAGGTGGCTTTGGACCTGTGGCCGACGACGGTTATGGTGTCTCCTACATCATAGCTGGAGAAAATCTGATATTCTTCCATATCTCAGCAAAGACAACATGCCAGCAAACGGTAAGGCTTGTCTTTTATTACTCCTAATCGAGCTCCAACTGATCGAAATTTATCTTTCAGGATGTCCACCGCTTCTCCGAGAACATCTCCCAGGCACTGGCCGACATTCGCAGCATGTTCGAGCAACACATCAGGGATCATCCGAAGCCCGCCAAATCAATCCAAAACGGCGCCTCCACATAATCCATGTAGTTGCATGTAGTATGAGATTCTTGTTAGCATTTGTTTTCTCTTTTTTAGTTGATCGTTTTAACATCCATCTTATACATTTGTCTATTGTAAGTTCCATATTAAGTGCAAAAGTCTATGAAAAAGTTCTAAAAGCAATGCAATTTTATATTAACTATTGTGACTCGGCTGATTTAGTCCTAGACCCTTTTGCACAATATTCTATGTTTCTCAACCAATTAGTCTGTAAGTGAAGATATCATGTAACTTAAGAGCTATAAATACGTTTCATTTTAAGCAAACGGATTTGTCTTTGTTCTCATGGACTCTTACGTCGCCAGGGGGTTGGCGTGTATGGTTACGCCGTTGATCTTCTTGTCTACGTGCGGCCGGTAGTTCTTGGGGTTAACCGGCAGCTTCTCCAGCTCATCCAGGGCATCAAATCCGTCGATAACGCGACCAAACAGCGTGTACTTCAGGTCAAGGTTCGGCTGAGCGGCGTACGTGATAAAGAACTGGCTGGCATTGGCGTTCGGCCCATTGTTGGCCATTGAAACCATTCCGCGGTCAGTGTGCTGCAAAAACAACAACGGAGCCGGTGAGACCTGTTCATCGCAATGAAAGTACTTTTCCCACCACCCACCTTTACGGTTTCCTTGAACTCGTCGTCGAACTTAGTTCCCCAAATAGACTGGCCGCTTTTTCCGGTATTGGAGGGATCGCCGGTCTGGACAATGAATCCCTTTATATTTCGAATGAAGACACAGCCGCTGTAGTAGTCGCTCGCACACAGGGCGAGGAAATTCTCGGAGGCTTTTGGGCAAGCATCGCAAAAGAGCTCTATTTTGATATCGCCCACGTCGGTATGTAGCGTCACGGACTAGAAATTAATTTATTTTATTTTTGTTTTCGTTTTTTGTTACATGTGATTGTTGTTTACCATTTTTTTTTACAGTGAGTTAGGGGCAGTGTGACCGCGGATTCATAATAAAAAAATATACCGTCCGACCCTCAGAAATATACCAAAATATACCGTCTCAGGTTTAAAATATACCTATTTCAAGTCTCAAGTATATCAGTATATCAGCTGTTTTTGAAATTATCGACAACTTATCTAGAACTTATCTAGAGTGGATCAAAATGTGCACATCAGCTTCAGCGTGCTGCCAACAACTTCGGTAATTATTCCACATTTTACATGTTTACACTTTTTGCTACATGTCAACTACATATTTCCTGAAACTGAATGTCTACCTAAAAAATACCTGCTGTTTTGGTATATGGGATTTTTTCGCTCTCCGTTACGGTCATGTCGAAATTGGTCACACTTCGCGTTTTTAGGCGCGAAATAGTCCGCATAATTTTTTCATCAATTACAATTTTTTTCATAACGTTTAATTTAAGTAAGACAATAATAACATGAAATGCAAAATACCGGAGATCTCGTGGCACAACCGCGATCCAGTTTTGAGTGTGGACATTCAGATGAACGGGCAGAGGCTGAGGTCGCCGACGATTTGCCGACTGGCTTCTGGCGGCACAGATGCACATGTCCTGATCTGGTACGTGAATCGGTGCGAAAATGGAGATGGCGTCGACTTGGAGCTGGCTGTGGATCTGTCCCGACATCAACGTGCGGTCAACACAGTTCGCTGGTCGCCCAATGGCGAGCTATTGGCCTCCGGCGACGACGAGAGCGTAGTGTTCATCTGGAAACAAAAGGCCGACCATGAAGTCGTCAACATTTTGGACGCCGATGGCAGTAGTGACCAGGATAAGGAGTCGTGGGTGACGATGAAAGTCCTGCGGGGGCATAGAGAGGATATCTATGATCTGAGCTGGGCCCCAAATTCGCTATTCCTCGTGACAGGTTCAGTGGACAACACGGCGATGGTGTGGGATGTTTACAAAGGAAAGTCCCTGGCCATTCTGGAGGATCACAAGGGCTACGTGCAGGGCGTAGCGTGGGACCCGTGCAATCAATTCATAGCCACTATGAGCACCGATAGGTAAGCACCACTCTTAGGAACCACTGCCAACCTTTCGCTGACTTGTCTTTTACTTTGCTTTTATAGACAATTGCGTATCTTCGATGCCCACACTAAGCGAGTGCTCCACAGGGTCGCCAAGTGCACCCTCCCTGTGAAGGAGGGACATGAAATGCATGGGAGGAACATACGGCTGTATCATGATGGCTCATTGCAGACTTTCTTCCGCCGACTGTGCTTCACCCCAGATGGCAAGCTGTTGATCACTCCCGCAGGAATCACCGACTACGATGGCGTCTTAAAACCAATTAACACCACATACGGCTTCAGTCGTTACGATTTAGCGCGCCCGGCCTTTGTACTGCCCTTTCCCCAAGAGTACGCGGTTGCTGTGCGCTGCTCTCCGGTACTGTACCGTCTGAGACCGTACAATGCAGATAAGAATCCCCCAGTCATCTCGCTGCCGTACCGCATGATCTATGCCGTCGCCACCAAGAACTCTGTGTTCCTTTATGACACCCAGCAGCCGGTTCCGTTCGCGATCGTCTCGAATATTCACTACACTAGGCTCACAGACCTAACGTGGTCGGGCGACGGCACTGTACTGATCATTTCAAGCACGGATGGCTTCTGTTCGCTGTTAAACTTTGAGATCGATGAATTGGGCGAGCGCTATGAGGAAATGGATGCAGTGCTGTGCGCTGCCTTGAAAAGTTCAGAGAATGCTCCGCCACTAAAGAAAAAGAAACCGAGGGCCAGAAAGGTATCGGCAGATGAGAGACCCGCCACACGTAAACCGTTGCAGGAGAAGACCAAGACCAATCGCAACAGGAAGACCCCTGAGTCTGACCTTCAAGATGTCAGAGAGATTGAAATTGATGCCGAAAACGATTCCTCCATGCAAAGTGCCAGTTCATCCATCTCCAGCAGCCCCAAGCAGAATACGAAAGCAGGGGTCAAGCCAACACAGATCTCTTTTAGGCGTTCCCCACGCAAAGTCACCGCAACGACAGCTCCCGCGCCGATTGCAATACGCCGTTCACCGCGTAAACCTGAAGATTCGGATGTACGCGTCTCACAGATCTCTGTCAAACGCAAGATTGGCTCAGGGACAACCGGCAATCAGACACCAACACCCATTCCCATACGCCGCTCTCCACGAAAAGTCGAGAACACAGAAGCGACCAAAGTGGGCGCCTTACCCATATCTGGGAAACGCAAGATCAGTCCATTGCCAGAGCCTCCGACAAAGAAGCATCAGAAAGCCATCGCTGGCACAACTGTTCTGGATAAGAAGATGGTCAGCTCAGGCGAAACAGCCACACAGACTCCTATGCAAGTCCCCACACACCAATCGCCACGCAAGACGGTGGACGCAGAAGCCACCAAAGCCGAGGCCCTATCGATTTCTGTGAAACGCAAGAGCAGCCCATTGCCGGAGCCTCCGACAAAGAAGCTTCAGTCGGATATCGCTGGTATTGCTGTTCTGGACAAGGAGATTATCAGCTCTGAGGAGAAGTTCGAGTCGCCAGAGAAGAAATCCCGTCCAGCTACACCCATTCAAGTTCGTCGCCAGCCCCGCACTCCCGGAAGCTCCAGTAGCTTCTCCCTCACACCCAAGAGCCAGCCCGCCAAAACAGCAACGCCCATTGCAGTGAGGCGCACTCCCCGTGTACTTGTCGAAATGTCTGTCAACTCTCCTGTGGCCCCTATGGAAGAGGCTATGGATGCTTGGCCCCTCGAAGAGGAAGGCACTCCCATGCCAACGTCGACGAAGGAACCGTTGCCAGAGACAAATGAGCAAGCGAAGAATCCAGTGTCCATCAGTGACAGCACCTGTGAGCGCACTGAGGATATACGTCTGGTCTATGAGGACACCCAGGAGAAGGCGGAGACCCCTATAAAAGCGACAGTAGCAAAACCTTCAACGCCCAACAGTAAGACCCCGCGGCGGGTTTCCTTGCGAACCATCTCCACGCCCAAGTCGAAAAAGAAACTGCTGGAATAGGCAAAGCAATAGCATAGTCGTAAAAGAATTCTAGAATTACAAAGTTATACAAAAATTAAACAAAATAAAACGAAAGGCAAGGCATAAAGGAAGACAATTATGTTAGTCATATAGACTAACAAGACTAACAATTATGGTACTCTGGAGATCCGCTTCAGAGAATCTGCAACCTGCCATGTGTTTGCAGACAGCGGTCTGTATTTATTCCGCGTTGGTGCTTTATGGCCTCCAAGGTTCTTACCTGGCCGCATCGGTATAAGGCCATAAGGAAAGAAAGGTGTCAGTGACTGTACCAGAGAGATACCCGGCTGTTTCAGTTCTAGCTACCTAGACATCAGTTTTCTCCGATGCAAGGGGTCACATGGCATCAAACTAATTAAGTGTTTCACCGTGTCTAAAAAATGCCACAATGTTAGGCATTTATGATCACAGGATCTCCAAGAAGCGATTTAAGATATTCGACTAAGGTAAAAATATAGTCTAAAGTCTTCCGAACTAGAAATATGGTAAGTCGAGCCTTTTTCCTGGTATAGCTGGGGAGATCAGATTAAGTACTATAGAGTATTACCCTATCGTACACAATTCTTGTGAAACAGGTCGATTTAAAGGATCTTTGATCGGATTTTGTGAGGAATAAATTAGTACAGCTTTTAATGGTTTTTTTGTATTATTTATATTTATTTAAATTTTAGATGATCTCTAACGTTTCGAGTTTCTTTTACATACAAACATTAGGGCTTTGATTTTGTTCTTCCTATTTTTGTTTTTATATCATTACGTTTGTATATATATATATATATATTAAATTTGTAATTCAACGATTTAATCTCATTCATCATTATCGAGCTTAGTAAGATTCTGTGTCTCGCGTCTTTTTTAATTAAAACTGGGCCTTTAGCTACACATTGTCCACGTGGTTCATTAGAGAGAGTAAAGGAGCTCAAGACTGAGGAGAACTATTTCCACTCGTATTTCCACACATGCATGGTATTATACATATATAAATATTTGCCATATACAAGTGAAATAAATCTGAACTGCTGCAAAGGGACAACAAAAGCAATTTGAATTAGGCTACAAATAAGATTAGATACAACTCCTAAGCTTTTTCTAACCTATGGTTCCATTTCGACTTCTCCTCAATCACTTCTTGGTTTAATTCTTCCATTTCTCATATCTCAAATTTCCTTGGGGATATTTTTTCGCCTCGTTTCCTCTTACAAAAAATCATGCGTCTGAATGTCCTGTGACATTTGGTTTGAGTTACGATTAACATTAGTTAGGTTTCGCCTTTTTTCTGTGTATGTATTTTCATGAAACTCACTTGGGACTGTTTTAACTGCTATTAAAGTAATTTTAGTAGTGCTGCGACTCGTGAGTGTGTGGAGCAAAGAGGTGTACAATATGAGCTTAGAAAAATATGAATTATATTTGATTCCATTCCGTCACCGTTTTTATTCCGTTAAATATTGAAAATATGCAAAATGTTTGTTGGTTTACTGCGGTTAATGCTATGCTATGCTTGAATTTGAATCTGTTTCTGAATCTGAATGAAGTTGCTATTAGTCATATCTTAGTGTTTGTTTAATTAGTTAATTAGTTTGCGCTCTCTCCTTTTGCAAGAGTTGAGCTACTTTGAGGAGGAAAATTATATGTAAACACTGCGCTTGAGTATTTTCCATTAGATATAGTTACGAGAAAAATATAGTACATATGTATGTGTGTATGTATTGTATGTTTGTATGTATAAATATTTGTATATAGATCGATTTGGTTTACTTTGTCTCGAGGGTAAATGAATAACTTTGTCGTGGCTTAAATTGTCAATAAATATATAAATTTTCATTTAAATATAATTACATACAATTATTGAACCTTAGTTCGTGATCTTCTACTGGTCTGCGGCAGTTCCTTAAATATGTACTACATGGCCACCAGCCATCCACTCACATTCCAACTATATGGCTTGCAACATGGCCAACAAAAACTCTCTCTCTCTCTGCCTGTCTCTCTGGCTGTAAGAAATCATGGAACCAAAACTAAATAAAAATTTAATATGTGGGGTTTTTTGTTTTTGAATAAATAGTTTTTATTGAAAATGATTTTGCGTTTATTTTTTAGTTTTTGTTTTTCCTTTTGGTAGAATTATAAAAGTTGAATGGAAAATACATACGTATTAAATATTACAGTATTTGGTTGGGCTGGGCTGGGATAGTTAGAGTGGGATTAGAGGAGATGGAAATGGTAAGATGCTGGCTGGCCGAATTAAATCGAATCACTGATTGGAGGTCAACGTATTTTACGGAAAGGGGGTACGGTTCTGTGGCCAACACAACTTTCGAAAAGTGTCTGGAGGGGGGGTCTCGGCAGACAGACGCTGGCTGGGACTGCCAAAGTATGCGAAAAATTTCGTCAAGCTTTGTGAAAATTGTTGAACCTTTTGCTGAATGTCAAATAATATTTATTTCGCTAATAAACTTACTTATTTGATGCTTAAGTTGTTTGTGTGTGTTCGTGTGCGTTTACATAAATTAGACTTAAAAACTATAAAACATAAGTGGATTTGTCCATCTAGAGCAAGAGCACAAGGGTACAGAGGGCCTCCAGTAGAACTAGGGGAAGGTATAGGACTGCGGGGGTGTACATACAAAAGAAAAGACTATCGAAATAACAATATAAATTCATTGCCGCTAACTGATTCTGTAAAATCAAATGCACGGTGCGCATACGAAGCATATACAAAAGTACTCGTAAATGTAATAATTACAATAATAAGTCTAATCAAACAATTCAACATACTCGGGGCTCGGGTTAAATGCCACACGCTAAATACAACTGTGCATACATACATATGTACATATGCATTCGCATACAGTTATGTGTCGTACTGTTACATTAAAGTACTCGTACAATTTGTGTATAGATTATTACATGCAATCCTTGCTTGAGTTTTCCTTGCTGTTGATCCGTTTGTTGGTTTGCGTGTGTGAGACATGGCAAAAGTATAGCATGCTTTTGTGCGCTGCCAGAGTAGGGTGCGCTTTGCCTTTTGTGGGTTTTGTTTGTTTGTATGTATAAATAAATGCAACAAATTCGTTTAATTACAATAAATCAGCGTTAAGTGAATACAAATGAAATTGCTGTGCGTGTGTGTTCAGTGTGTTGTGTGTATGCCAGCTAAACCTCTCCTATACACGTAAATTCAACAAATTACAATTTACATACATTGAAACGCATCAATCGTCGAGTCAATCAATCATTGATGGCTGCTGCTACTGCTGATTTTTACACAAGTTAGTTAAGTGGCCACATATGCTTTGCGTTACTCTTACTTTTTTGTTAGTTTCGTTTCGTTTAGTTTAGTTTAGTTTGGGTTTGTAAATACAATAGATAGAGATTTATATCCTTTTCTTTTATCTTTAAATTAGACTTAAACTTTTAAGATTTTCCTTCATTACTTTTATATGTGTATGTGTGTGTGTGTGTGTGTTTGTGTATTTGTGTGTTCTTATGTGTTTCCTTTTGGTTTGTTTTTGTTCACATTAATGTCGTACAATATAATATATATTTACTTTTGCCCACACGCTGACACGCAACGCAATCAAATTAATTATTATTAATATTATTACTTTGTTGTTCTGCTTGTTGTTGTTCGGTTTTGTTGCAACTTTTCAAAACTTAGGTCTAAACAAGCACGACAAATGCAGAGAGCGTTGATGGCATGAATAATTTCAAAGAGAGATTGCAACAGGAAACATTAAATATATATTATTTATATATATACGTATTGTATGTGGGTATGTGTATATATAGAGGTGTGGGCACATACATATGCTGTATATACGCTCGTTCGGCATTCGTTTAATAAATACATGAGGAAACTAAGCTACACGTAAATTATGAATTATGAAATTCTATAAAAATTATTCAGACCAAACAACAACTATGCGCTTATGCGTGTATGCTCGTGTGTGGCTGTCATGTCGTACATGTGGCTTGCATAATGCATATGTATGTGTGTATGTATGTATATGCTTTTTTGTTTGTATGTATGTATGTATATAGGAAATGCTTTCAATCATCAACTGCTTCTCAAATGCTTGTCTGTGGCTCACTTTCAGCTGTGTCTTCACATCACATATCGTAGCCGACGTCGATCTCGATCTCGATCTAGGGATCCGCGATCTGTGATCTGCATTAGCATTCCGCATCTGCTTATCTTATCTGGATCAATATTATAATGTTACTGGTTGCATGTCCTCCCATCGTACGCGGGATCATCTGTTCGCTTTGTTAAACAAATAAAAGTTCTTTGGGCTTTGCTTGTTTGTTGGTTCTATCATCGTTTGCTCTTAAATTTTCTTTTGTTTTTGATCAATGCTGGTGGGTTGTTGTGCTCCCGCGCTGCTCTTTAATACCGTTACGGTGTTCCCTGCTAACGCCCCCCATCTGCTCCACGTCGTCGTCGTCGTCCATGTCCACCTCCTCCACATGTCCCGGCCATGGCTTAGTATAGTCCACAGCCGCGCAGGTTGTTTGCTATGATGACATCGGTGACGGCATCGAACACAAACTGAATGTTGTTGGTATCTGTGGCACACGTCATGTGGCAGTAGATTTCTTTTGAGGTTGATTTGTTTTTCGCTTCGAATTGAGCCTGAATGTATGCAGCCGCCTCGCCATACTCCTGTCCACCTGTTCGCCCAAAAGATAAGATTCAAAACCAGATTTAGATAGCCCAAAGGCAACGAGAGGCATCGGCTTACCTGTGTACTCGGGGAAGCAAATTGTCAGTGGACTCTTGCGTATCTTCTCCTCGAACAGATCCTTCTTGTTCAGGAACAATATGATCGAGGTGTCCGTAAACCATTTGTTGTTGCAGATCGAATCGAACAGCTTCAGCGACTCTTGCATGCGGTTCTGAAAGTGGAATGAGTTGTGGAATCATCTGTATAGTGTCAGGGGCCGTCGCCATCTCAAACATACCGTAGTTTCGTCCTCATGCAACACCTGATCGTACTCCGACATGGCCACGCAGAAGATGATCGCCGTGACATCCTCGAAGCAATGTATCCATTTCTTGCGCTCAGAACGCTGGCCGCCCACATCAAACAATCTGAAATCGCCGAAAGGGAAACATTAGTTCATTAGTCATAGCCCAACCACTGGAGCTGGAAGGCCCCCCCTTGAGACTTACTTAAAGTTGAGGTTTTTGAAGGAGAAGTGAACCTCAACGATGCCAGTGGTCTTGACACGAGTGCGCAAGATGTCCTGTTCAGTTGGCTGGTAGTCCTTGGCGCCTAACCGATCCAAATCGTCCAGGAAACTGCAAAAAAAAATAACAAAGAGGTTTTTCAGTAACCGAATTTGACTCGTCCGCACTCGTCCGTCGCTTGACCAGACAAATGCCTGTCTGTCTCGCCCCCCATGTGCCACGGCACCTCTCTCGAGTCCTGAGCAAACAATTAGGCCCCAGAGCAAAGCGCTGAGCAAACAATTAAAAATAAAAACCTGCCCAAGTCCTGGCCCGCAAAGGGAGAACAGAATATGCTTGCTCAGCCAGCGCCAGCGCACAACTGATTTCCATGTCCAATTCGCTACACTGTGCGAAGAATTGTGCAATCTTTAAATAGATAAAATGAACGCCAAAGCCTGAAATGCAGATTCTTACACTGATTTAAGATATGGCTATGGATATGGCTATGGAGAAGATATGGATATGGCCGGGGAGTTCTTGAAGGACTTGAAGGTATTATAAATCTTAAACAACGCTGCCACTATATTCTTCAGTGTATGGGAAAGAACATATAACTTCATAGCAGAAATTGGCTGGCCAAGATCTTAATTTGGTTATTCAAAATGATTTTCATTTCCGTGCCATTAGTGCCAAGAGAAACATGGAGTGCTGGGCACCGTTGGGCTTTTTCTGGTTCTAATTTCCGTGTCAACAGATGAATTCTTTGCAACATACGAATGTGTGTATGCCTTGGACTCTAATTAGTTTTATTTGCCGGTTGTGTAACAGCTGTAGCCCTAGCTGTGGCACAGTCCCAGCCGCAATCTCACCCTCAATCAGTCAGAGTCAGAGTTGGAGTGTGCCCCAACAAGTAGGTCGCCAAAGAGGAGTCCGCAGAGTCCAGCCTCAGCTTCAGCTCCATCTCCAGAGCGGTTGTTAGTCCATTCCAGCGTGTGTGTTTTGGCCGTAATTAACGTGAGGCACGCAATGATTTCTTTTCAAAAAGGGCAAAAGCACGCCAGACGCGGCCCAAGAGTTGCGGGGCAGCTGATATCATTTGTTGGTTGGGTCTGGCTTCGGGTGACGGGTTCAGACGAGTCGTAAATAGTTTTGAAGGTTTTCTCTTTCTTTTGCCTGGAATGGGCCTGGCCTGGCCTGGCTTGGGTGAGGAATCTGCGCTCATTGCGGTCATCGCATGGGATCTCTTGTTGAGTTGGTCAGGCATTCGTTGGTCAACTGGTTTCTGCTTAAATTACACGCACAATTGCCCAACAACGTCGCCAAAGTACGCCCTGCCCCACCTCAATTCATAATATCCGGCGGGCAGGTGGAATCAATTCACCGCCGACTCGCGGTCCGGCAACTCTGCGGCTACGGCTGCGGCTGCGGCCGAGGAAATTGGCCCAGTCATGCCCAGTCGCCGTGGCATAACTACATATAGCTATAGCTAGTCCCATAAGTACAACCACAGCCACAGAAGAAGCCCCCCATTCAAGTGGAAAAGTTGGTCGAGTTGCAAGAGCAAACTGCATAATCGACCGATCGCATTTCTGTTACAATTTCTTAGACAAACGTTTACAGAAGGGGGCCAAAACGGATCCAGTAGCTGGCGATTGGGCCATCACATAGTTAGCACTTCGTGGGCAGAGATCGAGATCTCATTTAACATGTCCGTCATAAAAGTTTTCTTTCTTTATTATGTCTGGACCGCAGCCAAACTCTTATGCAGGCAGCTGTGAGCCCGGAAAATGTGTTGTAATCCATGGCCGGGCAGGTGGCCCATACGTGTTCCAAACTGTGGATAGGAGATCGTGATGATACGAGTTACATGTACGAGGTGAAAGTGGGCCAGTCTCTAGAACGCTTTCGCAACTTTCCGATTCCATTGCAAGAATACTCACAGCATGGGCACAGCAAACAAAGAGAGGCGTATTTTCCAAGAAAAGTGTAGGAATAGAAGAAGGAACTGAAGTATCGGTGTATCTCTTCGGATGTAGTGATTGGATTAGGATCAAATATAGTCGGCTGAAGGGAATCCAACCAAGCACTAATGTTTTATTATAACCCAACCAATTTTGCTATAGATCCGATGATCCAGGCTTTAAATTTTGTTCTCCTACACATACAAAAATCTACTGGTATGAGAGGAATTTCAATTCAGACTGGCAGCTCTTCTAACTTGTGGCGGGAACTTGCTAAACTAAACTCATTTCCCTGCCATTTTATCTGAGATTTATGTTTGCTTTTCGCCTCAATTTCAATTAAGTGATTTGCGCGCAATTTGGCTAAGCAAATGGCTCGTTAGTCTCAGTAAGTTTCAGCTTTACAATAATTTATTTGCTTTGCATAATTTCCCACCGCTACCCCTGCCCTCTCTCTCTCTCTGTCGCTTACTCAATCTCTCATTAATGTCAGTCACAAAAAAGGCCGTTATACTCGTTCGTTAGCCCCAACCTTGTGCTCTCTAATAATCAGTATCAAAAGCACTTTCAATTTCGATTATGATTTTGGTACAAAAAAAAAAAGGAGAATAAGTTACCAGCGAGAGAGAGAGACTGAGAGAGGAGAGTGGCAGTGGCAGTGGCAATTAGCAGAATCATCTTAAACAACAAAACCAACAAAAGCGCGCCAAAAGCCGACAAATTTGTACGTTGGCGCTGGGCATCGCAGCAGCAGCAGCAGCAGAGGCAGCAACAACAACAGCCTCAGCGGTGGCAGCAACGCCGGCGATGGTGGCTGGGCTGGCGATGACGCGTATAAGTAGACTAAGAAGCCCGACGATCGCGTTTAGTGCGTCGCGGTTGGTCTACGAGGCAGCAGCAACAGCAGCAGCAGCAGCAGCTCCTCCATAGAGCTCCACTTATAGCTTTCGGTATCCCCGGGCAACAACAACAAGTTTCGGTGGCTGCGTGACAAAGACGTTGCGAATCTCCGTCCGAGTGTTTTTGCTGTGTAAAGTCGAGTGGTAAATTGGCCAAACAACAATAGAAACCCGCAACAAAAGACGGCCCAAAGTGGTTTTAATTGTGCACAAACAAAAACGACTGCGGAGTCGAAAGAAACTCATCCAACTGGCGTGGCAGGCCGTGGAAAACGGTTCGAAGAGTATCATTTCCACCAGGTCTTTTCCCCCATTTTAATTTTGGGCGATTCCGCGCGCAGGGGGCGGGGGGGAAACAAGTTAAAGTCCACTCCGACATGGCATTCAGTCAATCGGCTGCTCGAAAGAGAGCAGAGTGGCAGTGCGAAAGTCAAATTTGAATATGATTTTGAGGCAGATTCCAATGCAGATACGGCCGCACCTCCAGTCGGTCAATAGACCAATAGCCACCATTCGCGAAAGTCAATAGATGAAATATATGGGTGACATAATCAAGGGAGATGGCATCCAACTGCTCTGCTGCTGCTGAAACTTTCAGATTCTCCTCCATTTAACAGGCAAATGCTAATAGAACTGGTCCTATGGGAGATTTTAATTTTCATGTCATTTCTGCTCTGTATTCATTCGAGTGTAGCTAGCATCTCGGAGGTGGAGCACAGCAGCAGCTGTCTCCTCCAGTCTCCAGCTTCCAGCATGTTTCTCTTCTAGCTGGAACAATGGCCCATAAAAGTCAACGACAATTGCTGCTCTGCTTGACATTTCTCATGCATTACTCGCAGGCGCTAGGATTATCACTCAAGTTCATTATAACCAACTGGCGATAAAGCCAGCCCTCCTCCCACACCCCCAACCCACACAAAGATAGTTTGGTTGTTGGCTCAAGTGCTCAAGGTCGCTCCGTTGCTTGTGCGGCAAGGGCAAGGATAAGCTTCGCTGCCATTGTGCACCAGGGTACACACGAAATAAAAGAATAAAATGTGGGAAAGCGGGACAGCGGGACAGGGTGAAAGCGGGGGTGTGTGTTGGGGATGCTCCATCACATTTTCGGCATTTAAATTATATTATCCTCAGGGAGCAGGCGCAGGAAAATGTCGAACCGAAAGCGAATGCTGTTCCACGCGGCGTATGAGCAATCTTTCCTGCTCTTTTGCAGGCTTGAGGGTCTGCGGTCGGGCGTTTGGGGAGAGGAATGGAGTGCGCCCACAATAATGTTGAATAATGCTGAAGCATTACGAGACTAGCTGGAAGGCAGGAAGCCCTAAGTCATCCGAACCGAACGGAAAATATTAAATATCCAAGAGTTTTCCATCTGAAGGTCAAGCTCTCCTTTAGGGGTGCGCAAATCACTGCCAAAATAATGTGTTATTTTATTGTTGTATATTGTTATTCCTTTCCTTTTCTTTAAACAGTTTTTCAAATGCACTCCATTCGAGTGGAGGAATCGTACTTATTCATACGATATGTACATATAGGCACGATCCGTTCGAAACTAAGTCTTGGCCAGGTGCAGTTTTGGCCCTCAACTGGGCGCTTCTTCAATAACTCTTCGATTCGTGTGTGTGTGTTTTCTTTGTTCGAATTCACATCTCGGCTGTGGGTTTCGTAGAGTTTTTGTAGCACAATTTCACGGTTGGTAGCCGCCACTTGCCTATTGACTGAGACGATAAAATGGAATATATGCCATAACACAGCGAGCCCTCTGTCTCTGTGTGCCCGCCCCTGGCCCTGGTTTGTGTACTCTCGTATAGCCCCCCCGAGATCAGAGGGACAATCGCTGATTGTTTGCCTTGTTTTGTGTGTGGCAACTAGCTCGAACTAAGTGCTGTCATCTCTGGATCCCAGGCAGCAAAGTTAACCAATAAAAGCACTGCCACTGGGGCTGGGGCGGGGGCGGGGGCGGGGGATGGGTCGCGGGATTTGCAGTGAGCGTGCAGCTCGAGCTATGGAACAATATTTGCTCTTCAACCAAACACCTTCTTCTAGGGGGCTCTAGAGCGGGGGTTCTGCTCTGAACAGCCTCTCTCCATTCACATTGATTGATTCGCAAAAAGGCAAATACTTGGAAATGCATTAAAAGTTTCTGCTGGAAAAGCACTTTGAGAACTGACTAAAACATAGACACACAATTCAATTTCCCTGCCTATCTTGCGGCAGAAACAAGTTCAACTTTCGATACCCTTTCTCAGGGTCTGTTTCCATCCGAATCAGT